TGCACAACACAGCCACTGCTTCACAGCGCCGGAGCCCAACTGGCCGGAGCGCAACAGGCCCTACCGTAACAGAGGCGCAGGTTAGGTTTGGTTAGGTTACGTTAGGAGTAGCCTGTTGCGCTCCGGCCAGTTGTACTCCGGCCTGTATGCGCTCCGGCCTGTGACTGAACGGCGCTGTTGTGGTAAGCGCTTTGTGTAGAAAGCCGTGAAGATACCCGGCTGCGTTACGCTCGGGAAGGTATATGAATCGCACTGTGGACTTCGGCTATGCTGACCTCTAGCTATCCACCCTCTGAGGGGTGGATAGCCTAAAAACTCCGTTCATTAATTTTAATTGAAAACGAAATATTGTAAAAATCTGTGATTTTTCCTATAGCAGGCATTGATAATATATACTTACATTCAAAATTTAAAGCAGATCCGTTCAGTTTTGAAGGATTTATGAGTTGTTTGGTTGCCTAAAAATTTCGTTCATTCGTTTTAATTGAAAATGAAATAATGTAAAAATCTGCCATTTTTCCTATCGCAGGCATTGGTAATATATACTTATATTCCAAATTTCAAGTAGATCCGTTCAGTATTGAAGGACTTATGAGTTGTTCGATTGAGCGAAAAGTTAAGTTTTGCATGTGAGTTCGCAGCTAGGCGGGTCCGGAGAAGCGTCGATTCGGTCTCTCTTCCTTATCACAGCACGAGTCAAAAACTGTGTGCATACATATTTATGTCAGTAACATGTAAATTGTATGGACAACAATAATTTGAAGTCGTCACGAGAATGACATCATTCACTACCGCACGCCTCATGCGCGGTGGCACCAAGCGAACTCTGCTTGTTGTCTCCGCGGTTATCCTGGTCACCATCGCGCTCGTGTCAATCGACAAGTAAGTATACATTCTCATAACTCAGCAATTTGATTAATTAAAATAGATGTAGCATATATAATTTTAAACTTATTTTGTAAAATGCATAAAATTAATAGGGCCTTCTCCATCTAGATAAAATTTTGAAAGTTTAAATAAAATTTTAGGTTCTCTTGACATTTTTATCAAGTCGTACATTTTTACATGACATTTTTATCAGTCATTTCAAGTCAAATTAAAATTTTAACTCATCGATTCGTTAATGGAATTGGAAGCTTTTAAAATCTCAATACTCAATTGAAAACACATTCCTACACAAAAGTGTGAAGTAATTAAATGCGTTATCTCGTTGACAATATATAATAAGGCATTTGGTTCTGAGAGCACGATTGTGAATACTTGCCAAGCATCAAAAAGTAAATCGCTAATATAGTAATAGTATACATAGTTTTTTCTTCAGTAATAAAAATTAAACCGACACTCTGCTAACAATGGATTGCTTAAATTTTCAGATCTGGGCAGAACTCTGTGCAGTCACAACCAATTTTAGGTTAGTTTTTCCTTTATGATTATACATTTTTATATTGTGTTCTACAATGACCCTGCAAACATAAAATTCAGACTTAAGTAACTCCGATGGCGCTTGCCAGTTAAAGTGAAGTAAAAGCACATAAAGCATACTTGGTTTGGCTCGCAAATTTTGAGCCGAAATAGCCCCCCAAAATTCTATGATTTCAATCTGAATGTCACTTGATATTTTTTTATTTCTGACCACCCAGAGCCTGAAGGCAAAAAGAAACCCGACCATCGCGATGAGCCGACGACTCACGTCGCAGAGGGTGACAAAATTACCCTTAAAAATATTACCCCAAAACCAATTCTGGATTGGCACAACTTTTTCGAGTACATAGAGGAGGCTGATGGTTGTAGCAATATTGTGAGTAGAATTTTTTTGTGCTCCAAATATAATCATCAATATAAAAAGCGCAAATTTCTGCTTTCTCGTGATGCTTTCTTCACAGATCTAGAGTGGGAGAAATTATGTTTGTTGAAAGCCTGTACATCGAATCAGCAGATTTACCACCAATCAATACTCATACTGATGAAATGCATGCATTTTGTTCGGAGATTTGACGTGAGATTGTAAACCATGGAAAGCGCACGTTTCGACGAATAAAAAAGAAAAAATGTCTAAAAATAACTAAGTTAAGTCCACCCTTCCAGAAAATGTTTGGTGGAAAGCCATACGGAGGAACCAATGTTTTGGACGGCGACAAGGCTGTTTGTTTGGACGCCAACGTCGCGCCCACTCCAGGCTCCTGCATCGTACTTTCCTTCGGCATCAGCAACGAGTGGAGCTTTGACGACGCCATGGAGCAATTCGGCTGCAAGGTCAGCTTTTAGATAGATTATATTTAATTATTTAATTAAATTAAGGGAGGAGTTGGAGCAGCGGGCATGGCTTTGACGATATGGAGGAGTACGGCTGCAAGGTCAGGTGCAAGACATATCATTTAGGAAAGTTATGGGGGAAAGTTAGAGCAGCGGACAAGGCTTTGACGACACCATGGAGGAATACGGCTGCAATTTGATAATAGTATTAGTAGATGTTAAACATTTAGCAATTTACCTACGGTGCAAATTTAACCTTATTTTTTTCATCAAGTAACTTACGTTTTGTTTGTAAATTACTCGCCGAGCGTTTATCACTCATAAATGAGACATTCTATTGAGAAATTTGCTGGCTACTTGGTTGCATTGCTTGGTGCAGTACCAATGTAGACGGGGGCAATCCTTTTTACTATCCTTCAGGATGAATTCGTATTCATCATCTTCAATTTTTTCGCACGAGGTGTGGTACCATTGCCCACAGATTTCGCATTTCAGCGCCTTATCTCTCGCAGTTACGATTTTCGTACAAATTCCGCAATCTTTCGCCTTCTGCCCGAGTTGGGCAGAGGCCGTTCTCCTCCTAGTTGTCATATTTTCATTCAATTTGGCGATAGAAAGCTAGGAAGGGTGTCACTCACCGTTAAGATCTTGAGTTTTGATTAGTTAGTCGACTTATACGATACAGCAACTTATCTGCATCGGTAATTCAGCATTCGGACGAACACTATGGATTTGCCGCCATCTTGATTGTTGTCGGTCGCTCACCTCACAAACAAGTCTTCAAAAAGCTTACAATTCAGTTAAAATACTCGATTCCGTTCAGATTTATGGATATTGGCTTCTTAGGTAGATAAATAGTCCACTTCAAGCGGGTTTACTCCATTTGGGACTCGAAATTACTGAAAGCAACCTGACAATTTCAAGAGCGACCCACGCACGTCCGTCTTCCACCGTAGCCTCCGATGCTGGGCCATACGACGTCAGGCTGTTTTCCTGTAGGCTGATTGGTCTAATTCAATGAATATAATCTGTCTAGTGGCGTGCGGCTGATAATATTACAGTCAATAAGTGTTTTAGGCTACATTCTTCAGGGAAGGGATCATGATAGTCCATTCGAAGCATGGCACGGCAGTGGTGGTCTCCGACAGGCGTCCCATAGTGTTTTCCTACTATTGGATATTTTTTTTTTGTTCGCTGTTTATATTTATTTATTGGATATTTTTTATAGACATTTATTTTCCTAATATTGAACCTACTATTGGTATTCGAAAAGCGAAAAGCCAGTGGAAGAGCAAGGCAATGAGACGGAATCGCTGAATGATGTAGTAAACGCCTTGAGTGAGATGGTGCTCTCGCTGAGTGAAAATTTGAGCTCGCTTTGCAATGAGCTGACTGAAGTGAATGCTCAGCTGAAAAATACGGAAATTTTTGAGGTAAAGACTCAGACAGTTGATTTATCCGAAATTGCTAGCGCAAGCTCCCGCGAGTTACTGGACAGAGAACGTAGGAAGTCCAACTTGGTTTGGTTTGGAGTTCCCGAGAGTTCCGCATCTGATACGAAAGACCGAGTGATGGCTGATACGAAATTTATTGAAGAATGCTGTAGCAAGGCAATCAGCACACAGGTTGATATTAAATCGTACAAGAGGCTACGCTCGAAGGATGCTGCTGCCAACACCTGCAGACCTTTGTCGGTGACTGTAAAGGATCCTGCACAGGTTGGAAGCGTGCTTAAGGCAGCAAGAAAGCTTGGAGAATCTCCTGAGTACAACTCCTTTTTTATAAAGAAGTTTTTCACCCCTTTAGAGAGAGAGGATTTTCGCAAGAAATGGCAGGAGAGAATCAGGCGGAACAGCACGGAAAATCAGGTCAACCACTCTTGCAGTGTCAAGACAACACCGGTGGCACACGATCAGTTAGCGGAGCTGGAAGACAAGTAAACAGTAGAAGTCATGTCCACAGTTCCAGACCTATGAGTAATGTAAGAAGCAACCCGCATAAATCAAAGTGAGAGTGCACAAAAAGTTTTTAAATGTTTTTACACGAACTCGGATTCCGTTTTGAACAAAAAGAGTGAACTGTTAAGTGTGATCGCAAACGAGTGTATAGACATTATTTGTATTACAGAAACACTCCCTAAAAATCACGGGGGGGATTGTACCTGTTAAATTTCAGTTGCCAGTTTTCAATTGTTTTCATAACTTACGAGGGGCATCCGGAAAGTAGTACCCGTTTGAGAATTGAACAAAATGAAGTAAATGCTAACAAATTTAAACAAGTTTAATGATAAGAATATGCATTACATTACTTCTCTACATAATCTCAGGACAAATCTAAGCATTTGATATATCGTGTCACGAGTTTTTGTATACCAGTGTCATAGAATAGAATAGAAGTGTCGGCGCTTAAGAAATAGGCCCATTGCCTGTTGCCGATTCTTGAACTTTTCGTGACTTGATTCACAAGGGATCCGGCCTTTGAAACCCGATCTTTCCATAGCTGACGATTGATTGAGATAGCTGCTGGGCTTATTGCCTGGTCCGTAATTTGCTAGGCATTTTAAGACTGAACATATGCTCCTGCATAGCTTCGTCTAGTNAGAACACGTGACTGCGTATCTCAATACACTAGTGGCGCAGGCATATGACACTGGTATACAAAAACTCGTGACACGATACATCAAATGCTTAAATTTGTCCAGAGATTATGTAGAGAAGTAGTGTAATACATGTTCTTTTCAATAAACATGTTTACGTTTGTTAATATTTACTTCCTTTTGTTCAATTCCCAAACGGGTACCACTTTCCGGATGCCCCTCGTAAATGAAGAGCAATGGAAGTAGAGATGTAGCTCTGTGGGTTAGAACCTCAGCCTCTTATGGGGCCCAGCAAGTTAAGTTATCTGCAGAGCATCAATCAGCTAGAGAATCAGTGTGGTGCGAACTTACTCTAAAAGGCAAGGAAAAACTTACTCTAAAAGGCCCATTGACAGTATTCTTTCAAAAAACCCTGAGCGAAAGGACTTTGCCGTTCGACTGGAAAGAAGCTCAAGTAACACCATTGTTAAAAAAGGTGACAAAAGCAGCCCCGGCAACTGGGTCGCCTGCCGAAGACCACCACTGCCCTGGATATAATGGACCATCATGATTCCTGCCTTCCGGAACGTAGCCTACAACACTTCAAACCGTCCGTATCTAGGCCAAGGGTCGAACCAGCCCTCGGTCGAACGGCCACTTGTCGCAGGACGATAAATTTTGGAACATAACTATGTTATCTGAAACCTAACCTCAGATGCGGTGAACGTAAAATTACGTAATTTAACGATGCCTGAAAGTCATATTCGATCCGCGGCCTGGTGGTGCACGGTAGGTGGTGGTCAAGGCCGGAAGAGGACAAAGCCGAGTGGTGCACGGCTGATTGGTGTAGGTCCGGAGAGATCCAGGGCGTTCGATTCAGGGCTTACTAGTGCACAAAATTGGTGGTGCACGGCTGAGCTCCCCCGGCAACTATCGCCCTGTCAGTCTGAGAAGTGTTGTTTATAAGCTAATGAAATCTGTTGTGAGGGATAGGATTATCGATCACTTGACTGCTCACCATCTCCTATCAGATTGCAAACATGGTATTATTGCCGGTAGATCCTGCACCACTAACTTATTATTTACGTTGAACGATTGGACTAGCCTGCTGGACGAAAGGGAGCCTGCATTGTATCTCGATTTTGCCAAAGCATTTGACAGTGTTCCGCACGAGCGGCTGTTGCGTAAAGTGAAGTCTTTGGGAATTGAGGGAAACGTACTCCAATGGATCAAAGATTTTCTAGTAGGTAGACGACAACTTTTCAGTATTAACGGAACCGTGCCAGACTGGGCATCAGTGCGCAGTGGCGTGCCACAAGTAAAGGTGCTTGTACACGGGGATAGTGCAGACGGCTAGTAAATCTGGCTAGTGTCGGTCGCTTGGTGACTATCCAGCTAGTAAGCCTGTACACACGAGGAGAGTATAAGGTGCCGCTATCTATTTCTCTCTTCATTTTGTTGTAGTAACCATCATGGAAAACATTATACTTTAATTCATATTTTTGGAATATTTCAAAGAATAATTGAATATCGTCTGGAATCCACTTTGTTGGATTCCTCTTAGAAACATTATCGTTCAAACAATCCATGATTCACGTGACCCAAGATACTTCACAGGAGCGGCACAGATGCTCTCACCATGGCTGCATCAGCGCTACTAGCCACTTCTCCACTCTCCAGCCAAGATATCAACACATCGTTGTCTCTCTCGGCCGCGCCTCGGGCACTTGCGGGCGCATGCCTCTGAAGCGGCTGAAGTATCCCTTCCCTTCTGAAGCGGCTGAACTAGCGGCTAGTACTATCCCTGTGTACAGGCACCTTAAGCGCTCTTGGGCCTATTTTGTTCGTTGCTTTTATAAAGGATCTGCCAGAAGTAGTCTCTAGCATGTGCTCCATGTATGCCGACGACACAAAAATTTATAATTCAGTGAAGGATGCGTCAAATAAAGCGTAATTGCAAGATGATCTTGTCAATTTAATTAACTGGGCTGATACGTGGCAGCTGCGGTTTAATGCTGACAAGTGTTAAGTACTTCTGCTGAAATTTTCTAAGCATGTTGAAACGCAAGCTAACACATCCAACAAACTTCTTGGACTAATCAGACGCTCATACGAGTTCCTAGATGCAGAAACGATGAAGCAGTTGTTTGTTGCCATCGTGCGCCCAAATCTAGAGTTTGGAAACGTTGTGTGGTCACCGAGATTCGAAAAGGACAAAAATTTAATAGAGAATGTTCAAAGACGTGAAACAAGGATAATTTCAGGCTTGAAGGGCAAGTCCTATGAAGAAAGATTAAAGATTATGAAACTTCCAAGCCTCAGTTATCGACGTCTGCGTGGGGACCTCATTGAAGTATACAAGTATACTCATGGTTTATACAAGGTCCATACTCACCGAAGGATTACTAGAATTTTAAACTAGAACCAACACCAGGGGCCACGGCTATAAACTTAAAAAACTACGCTGCAACTTCTCCCCGCGACAACATTTCTTCTCGCTTCGAATCACCAACATGTGAAACAGCCTCCCCGATTACATCGTTGGCGCTCCAAGTATGAACGTGTTCAAGAACAGACTAGATAAAGATATGGAAAAACATATGTTCAGACTCGAAATGCCTAGCACTATATCGAACCCGGTGGAAATCTAGTAGCTATTTCAAACTATCGTCAGTCCTGAAAAGATCCGGTCAAATGACAAGATTTAGATCTTCTATGAACAAGTCACGAAAAGTTCAAGATTCGGCGACAGGCCACATCAGGCCTACTCTTCAGCGCCGACATCACTATGTTATGCTATGTTATGAGTATACTTGTATGCTTCAATGAGGTCCCCACGCAGACGTCGATAACTGAGGCTTGTAAGCTTCAAAATCTTTAATCTTTCCAAATAGGATTTGCCTATCAAGCCCGGAATTATCCTTGTTACGTGTCTTTGAACACTCTATTACATTTAATGAAAATTTGAATGTATTACATTCAAATTTTGATGACCACACAACGTTTCCAAGTTCTAGGTTCGGGCGCACGACACCAACAAACAACTGCTTCATCGCCTCTGCATATACTGTAGGAACTCGAAATAGCGTCTGATCAGTCCAAGTCGTTTATTGGCTTTATTAAACTTGACCTTCAATATCCTCTTGACCAATCCCGATGCAAAAATCCCATTTTCCCTTTTATCACACTTTCTAAAATGCAATAAAGAAGTACCGCGATCATAAATTTTAGCTGGCCAACGCAATTTAAAAAAATAGTGAAATTTGTCCAGAATAAAATACCACCTTAAAACTCTGTTAAAAACATCTCTATAATCATTTCGGGTCTCTATTCTGTGTTGACACAGAAAAAATATTTCTCTGTAAATAGTGAGGTGATACTTGGTGGTTGGTTCATAGTACCGATGATACACTAGTCTTCCCTATCGAATAAATGTGTCAGCTATTGTGCCTAAGAAACTAATGGTTCGCAGCTGTTGTGCCAAAGAAACTAATGGTTCGCAGCTGTTGTGCATAAGAAACTAATGGTTCATCAGCGACACCAGATTTGAAAGATTGCTGGCCTGGTGAATATTGACCAGCTCGAGTGGAGCTCGGGGCGCAGGTGGAAAGTGTAGTGCAGCTGGCAGGACGTCTCTGATAAGAGGGCTCCGTTCCCTCTGACAGTGTCATGCGAGAGTGCCCTGCCTTGTGGTAATCCAACAGGAGCGGGAGCCACAAATCTGCTACCTAGAAAAAATATTTCTTGAAACGAGATTAGAGTTAACGGTTCCTTAAGTTTAATAAACTTATTTAATTAGATTTTCTTTGCTGGAAAAGCAACTCACTCAAACATTACGGTAAAAAATCGTTGTCTTTTGGACTGAATTTACAAAAGTTCAAAAGGAAAAAGGGGTTAACGATAAAATATTAACATTAATTTGAGCGTGTTCAAATGTTTAAAAAGGCATCCGAAACTATCTCAGCGAATAAACTCCAATCGGCAAAAACAACCAATTCTTTCAGTTACTGGAACATTGTTACTAAAAAATTGTAAGAAATTATTCAAATAGACTACTCTTCACTTACCGAGATTTTGCATCGTTTTGATCCATGGTTAAATTAATAATGTAATGTTATAATGTAATACATTATTAATAATTAATAATGTATTAATTCAACAATGGTTTTGATCTTTGCTGCTCTGTTTTAAGCACGCCTGGTTCTTTGTCGCTGTGTTAAGTGAACCAACCCAAAGGTATTTGGTATTGATCCGTTTATTTTGTGGTAATCATGCTTGAGCATCTTAATTTTGTGTTTTTAGAGCATTTTCTCATTTATGGAAAAAAGCGCTATTGTGCTCGCCATGTCCGTCCGTTACTCGCTCGTCATGTCCGTCCGTGACTTCACGTTTTCGTCGACGAGAAAATGCGCTCTCTGTCACTCACTGCAGTGAGTACTGAGTTATATTTTTTCATAGTTGTCTTGTAATATTACTTCATCGATTATCTAAGTATGGATTTATCGGTTATAACTATAGTCCTAATTTTTTTATTTGCGAATATTTGTAACAACATGAAAGAATCCAAAGATGGGACAAAATTCGTTTTAAAATGAATTAAGCCTAGAAATTATACATTATTTAAGGGTATGGGCCGAAGGAAACCCCCAATTTAAACTTCTTTACTTCAACTTTTTCAATTCCTATGATATTCATTTGAGAGATTGTATTTGTTTCTTTTTAATAGCCAATAGGCAACCTAGGTGAACATGCTTTATTGCACGTATTTCTACTGGGAGCCTTTAATAGGTTTGTCGTACGATCACACTCCTGAAGACCTAAGCCATTGAATGCATTGTTTTGTTAATAATAGTTTAATACAAACAATGCACGCGTGCTGCTATACTGTGAACGCTATTGTTCTGAATGAGTTGTGTTCAGAACATAGAATTACTAAATACTTTTTTTAACTCAAGATGAATTCGAGTCTTTCAGCTTTGTCCTGAAAGTTACCGAATCGACACTTCAGCGGACTCGCCTGCGAACTGCCCTCCGGACTCGATTACAAAACCTAACTTCACCTTCAACTCAACCAGCCATAAATACATCATTAATGAACGGATTTTATTCAAATTTGAAATATAAGTAGGTAATATCGGTAATTAGTGGACGGAATTTTTTCTGATTTTTTACATCAATAACTTTTTCAGTAATATGGAAAACTTAACTTCATTTTCAACTCAACCAGCCATAAATCCATCAATAATGAACAGATTTTATTCAAATTTGAAATATAGGTAGATAATATCAGTAATTTGTGGAAGGGGGTTTTTTCAGATTTTTATATCAATAACTTTTTCATTAATACGGAAAACCTAACTTCATTTTCAACTCAACAAGCCATAAATCCATCAATAATGAACGGATTTTATTCAATTTTAAAATATAAGTAGATAATATCAGTAATTTGTGGACGGAATTTTTTCACATTTTTACATCAATAACTTTTTTATTAATACGGAAAACCTAACTTCATTTTCAACTCAACCAGCCATAAATCCATCAATAATGAACGGATTTCATTCAAATTTGAAATATAAGTAGATAATATCAGTAATTTGTGGACGGATTTTTTTCAAATTTTTACAATAATTACTTTTTTATTAATACGGAAAACCTAACTTCACCTTCACCTCGCAGGTTAAGTCCTAGTCAGGTCAAGTTTCTGTATTTTGTGGAATCAGAAAAAGTAATTGATGTAAAAATCTGAAATAATTCTGTCCACAAATTAATATAGATATTATCTATCTATATTTCAAACTTGAATAAAATCCGTTTATTATTGATGGATTTGTGGCTGGTTGAGTTAAAAATGAAGTTAGGTTTCCCATATTACTAAAAAAGTTATTGATGTAAAAATCTGAAAAAAAATTCCGTTCACAAATTACTGATATTATCTACTTATATTTCAAATTTGAATAAAATCCGCTCATTATTGATGGATTTATGGTTGGTTGAGCTGAACGTCAAGTTAGGTTTTGATTCGAGTCCGCAGGCCAGTTCGCAGCCGAGTCCGCTGAAGTGTCCGACCGGTCTGAAAGTTTTCTGATTTCGCATTCCTGAGTTTTAACATAGTTACTTACTTGGTTAAGATACGGCGCAGCACCGACGAAGGTATTAATCCTTCACTGTATTATAAACTTTTGTGTCGGCATACATGGAGCACACGCTGGACACTGCTTCTGGCAGATCGTTTATATAAAAATGCAAAAGTTTTGTCAAAAATTATCTGCGGTAATTCACAACACTTTGCTAATGCGCTTTTTACGGTTTTGTTATTTCATTATTCATAATTATCAGTTAGTAAATGAAAAATTCCGTGCAGTGGTAAATTCTTCGTCCAGCATACGCTAGTCGATTTTGATTAGACGAGAGACTGAAAACTAACGCAAGACTATTAATGTCACAAAACTTTAGAGTGGAGCTAGTGTAGTTGCGATTCAAACTATCAGTTGAGGCATGAGCCAGAACTTGATGCATACGTTCGGACAACATTTGGACGAAGATTAATAACCCTGATGATTTACTTGCCTTAATTGCTATGCGCAGTGAATGTTTCAGTTATTGTACCACAAAAATAATTATTCAAATTTCAAAAGCCAGTGATTGAGTTTTTTATTTAATGGCTTGCATTGACAAATGACAAACTCTCTTTGGACGAACACAGGTGTAGTGAATGGTACAGGTTGACGTGTTGCGAGGCAGGGATCCGACAGTGTCTGAGAGTCGGGAGCGCAGCCGTATGTAACAAAATTGACTCGTAAACAGGCCCTGAGCCCAACGCCAACCATCAGCATGCAATATCCACACATAGCCTCAGATCAATGAGCTGTGGGTAACTCCGGCTAACAGTAAATCCACTTTGCACAACACAGCCACTGCTTCACAGCGCCGGAGCCCAACTGGCCGGAGCGCAACAGGCCCTACCGCAACAGAGGCGCAGGTTATGTTTGGTTAGGTTACGTTAGGAGTAGCCTGTTGCACTCCGGCCAGTTGTACTCTGGCCTGTATGCGCTCCGGCCTGTGACTGAACGGCGCTGTTGTGGTAAGCGCTTTGTGTAGAAAGCCGTGAAGATACCCGGCATGAAGTAAAAGCACATAAAGCATACTTGGTTTGGCTCGCAAATTTTGAGCCGAAATAGCCCCCCAAAATTCTATGATTTCAATCTGAATGTCACTTGATATTTTTTTATTTCTGACCACCCAGAGCCTGAAGGCAAAAAGAAACCCGACCATCGCGATGAGCCGACGACTCACGTCGCAGAGGGTGACAAAATTACCCTTAAAAATACTACCCCAAAACCAATTCTGAATTGGCACAACTTTTTCGAGTACATAGAGGAGGCTGATGGTTGTAGCAATATTGTGAGTAGAATTTTTTTGTGATAAAAATATAATCATTATAAAAAGCTCAAATTTCTGAATTCTCGTGATGCTTTCTTCGCAGATCTAGAGAGGGAGAAATAATGTTTGTTGAAAACCTGTACATCGAATCAGCAGATTTACCACCAATCAATACTCATACTGATGAAATGCATGCATTTTGTTCGGAGATTTGACGTGAGATTGTAAACCATGGAAAGCGCACGTTTCGACGAATAAAAAAGAAAAAATGTCTAAAAATAACTAAGTTAAGTCCACCCTTCCAGAAAATGTTTGGTGGAAAGCCATACGGAGGAACCAATGTTTTGGACGGCGACAAGGCTGTTTGTTTGGACGCCAACGTCGCGCCCACTCCAGGCTCCTGCATCGTACTTTCCTTCGGCATCAGCAACGAGTGGAGCTTTGACGACGCCATGGAGCAATTCGGCTGCAAGGTCAGCTTTTAGATAGATTATATTTAATTATTTAATTAAATTAAGGGAGGAGTTGGAGCAGCGGGCATGGCTTTGACGATATGGAGGAGTACGGCTGCAAGGTCAGGTGCAAGACATATCATTTAGGAAAGTTATGGGGGAAAGTTAGAGCAGCGGACAAGGCTTTGACGACACCATGGAGGAATACGGCTGCAATTTGATAATAGTATTAGTAGATGTTAAACATTTAGCAATTTACCTACGGTGCAAATTTAACCTTATTTTTTTCATCAAGTAACTTACGTTTTGTTTGTAAATTACTCGCCGAGCGTTTATCACTCATAAATGAGTCGTAATACAGCTATAATTGCTTGAAAGTATTGTATTTTAACTGCTTGTTGCAGGTGTACGCGTTTGACCCAACAATGGGGCAGCAGGCCCACCTCAGGGGGCACGACATTCACTTCCACCCTTGGGGGCTGGGGGGCGCCACCGGGGTCGCGTCCTACCATGAGACTGAAATACCGGTAACCAAGCTTTGTATACGCATGAATTATAATTATAATGCATTATCTATAATATAATATAAATAATATATGTATTTTAAATTAGGATTGTAGGTGGCGCTTATAATTCATTCTGAATAACAAGTATTTTAAACAACTGATTCGATCACGCTCGTCATTTATCACCGCATAAAATTAAAAACTCATTCATTCAAGAGTATTTTTCCCCTTAATAGCTGAGCTAAAAATGAATCTCATCTTAATCTAATTGCTACAAGAATTTAGGTCTACTGTGAACTCATGAATGAAAAATACTGGCTATATGTACAATTTATTATCAAAATTTATTTACAATTGTAATTTTTTGCGCGCTGCATCGCTCTTATCATCTACGACAGATTCTCGAGACAAAAATATAATCATATTATGCAATTACCTTACACGACTGGAGCCCAGCTAACAACTAATCAACTCTGACAGTAATTTTTCCATAGATAAAAGATAAGATGACGCTACATCTGACATGTTATCGCAGTAACAGTATTCACATATTGCATATTCGTAACCGCAACTCAAATTCTTATGAACTCGACGCATTGGTTGGTTGTGTTGGGCGCTTAGCTTTCCTCATGAACAGTGGTAGCCTATAATCAGGCCAATAATGCTGTTTCATATCTGTGATCCTGATATAAGAGAAAATATAATTACTTATCTTGGTATATTGAGATAAATTATTGTGCAGGTCTACACATATCGTGATATTCTGAAGAAGATCAACGAAGAGCAGAGCATAATTGACTACCTCAAGATCGACATCGAGGGCTTCGAGGTTGATTTCTTCAACAACGTCCTTAGCGATGACGTAGAACTCCTGGCCAACGTCAAGCAGATCGGCATGGAGATCCATCCAGGTGAGAGATCCTTGCAATCATCCAGCGAGGTCAATGAACGATATATACATGGAGTAAAATTAAGTGTTCTCGCGATCGGCCGAGAAATTTGATCAAGTGAAAAGAAATTACGTGAAGATTTAAAAATCTATAAGTGTTTCTGGTTTTAAGAAAGAAGCTGAATATTGATTCGGAACTCGTATAACCTTCAGAGATATTCCTAATAATTTAACCTTTCAAAGATTAATTTTGTATTAATTGTGCAGTGGCGTCAGAGTCCATCAGAGACCAGATGTGGAGCCAAATTCGTTTGCTTCGCAGCCATAATTTCTCACAGGTGTCCAGTCTGCCCAACATGGCAGGGGGCAATAATTATATATTTGAGAACAAAACAGTTTCTCTGTGTTATGAAATACTTTGGGTTAATGACAAGTTCCGTTAGGTTTCACGCCTCATGTGACTATTATGTAGTATCAATGAAGGCAGAGTATTTAGGGCTTTCATAATGGGTTTTCTCCTATTTAGTTTTGGGCTTTTAGTGTGAATATTATAAGTTCTAAGTAAGCTTTTAACGGACTAGTCAGCCTTAATAGGTAGTTTGTCTAAGAAAATCTGATTTCAAAACTCTGCGGCCTCGCAGCTTACCCACTTGTATGAATGGCTGCGGATGTAAACCTCAAAAGTAATTCGATCTGGTACCGGGCTCCAAAGGCGATTTAATCTGAAACATCAACACCGAAAGCCACTGCGGCACAACCGAAACAAACCTGTATTGACTTTGTCATTCCCATGGATATTTCGATAGCGATTATGAAGATAGGTAAGGTCTGTTGCCTGCAGGAGTAACGGCCGACCCTCCATCACCCGGCCCAGTCCTTAGTCTCTGAAACTCCGTCGGCTTCTCCACAACCTTTTCGCTTGCGAAGAGTAATGGGGACTGCTGTATGGGTAACAGCCGACTTACCAAATATCACTCTGCCCAGTCTGTAGCTACCTTGGCTTCTGCACAGCCATTCTCGCCGATGTAGAACTCCTGACGCTGCGCCATCGCCTCCTGAGACAGATGCATGGATGTCGAGGACGAGTTCTGAACAATTACGTTATGTAAGTGATGTTGATCCAAATGTGAAAATTTTTTGCTCAAATTATCAGCCTCAAGAAGGAAACAGCACTTCATAGAAGTATATTTGAAGAGATATATTTCAACATAATTCTATAAACAATTTATCTTATCAACGAACCCGATTTCATATCCATATTCAAGGGACTATAATTATGCTGATTTCTTCTCCATATTTTGTTTCGTTCTAGGCTATAACCACACTAATGTTTGCGTTGCAGAAATTGGTTGGCACTTTATTAAGAGAGTTCTAATTTGACTTGCTAATTCTCACATGCACATCGACCGTTTCAGGTAAAGATGTTTGTTTCAAAATCTTTACATCGGCGAGTGTCTGCATAATTTGCTTTTCGTGGAAGATTTTTACTGAGTAGGGGGGTGTTCGTTTTCATCGTCATTTGTTTATTTCCAAAGAGAACCGGTTTTTTTACGCATTTTAGAACATCTGTGTGTTTTAATATTACCTCTGCCTATTTGGAAAGCGTTGTTAATGAATATCCATAGCAAGAATCTACCACAAATCTTGCAAACTTATTAAACTACCGTATCATTTCGTAATTTTATTTGTATTATGTTTGCTACGGCATGGATTCCACTCAAACACTGCTAATGTTTTTTTTGGCAACACTGCTGCAATTTGTGTCCCTGATTAAGCATTTAACATATATCAAATGTCTAGTGAGTTGGCTAATTAAGTTAATTAATTTGGCAATTGCGAGGGTATGGTACCAGCACATGCAACAAAACAAAACAAATTTAGGAGAACAAAAAGAGGAAGAACCAAGCAAAAATATATTAAATAACACTTTAATAACATATATTAAATAACACACATGGTACATGAAGATGAAAGGTGAAAATTAGTTGGTTAGTAATGAGACAGCCCAGGGCTATGAGTGATGGGGTAAACCTAGCATGAGAACAAAATAACCAGTCGCCCAAACTGGATTGAACGTAACAGAACATAATAAAGAAGGAGAAATGGAAAAATTAACTAAACTGGGCCAGAATAATGATTAGACCAAACTGAACATAATCAAAGACCAAAATGAATAACCAATGTCTTCAGTCAGGGCTTTGCTGCTATGGAGGTCTTCAGGCTAGGGTCTGAAAATGTTCGTGAACCGGCTCAAGGAAAACAAGCATTCGGTGATACTACCAGAGCCCAAAAGTGGAGCGGGACTGAACAGGCACTATACAGTGGTTCCGAACTGTCCCAAACTGTACCAGAACATGCTCCACGTTGGCTGCTCTGCAAAGATGAAGGGACAAGGAAACATAAAATCTATCTTACAAATAAACCCTTGAAACACATGAATATACATTAATCTATCTAATGAAAAACTGTAAGACTCAATTTAGAGGGCTAATTTATACAAAAATATAATAATTAAAATTTTGAACTAAGATGCATGGCGAGAGTGTACCCTTGACTTACCTATTTAAGAACCTGGATAATCTTAGTAGGTCAGCAAGGAAGTCTTCATTGCCAGAAAGCAGGTGCATGTATGTACAGTCATGTACAGTGAGTACAATGATGATGTACAGTGAGCATAGGTGAGTGGCAAGTTAGCTTGAGCTGATGCTCAAGCTAATCAGGACCATGGAAAATTGACTCACTCCCCAAACACCTTTTCGCATTCAAATGCATTAATTTAACTGTAACTCGCTGTCACTAGCTTGAAGAAGAACTTGGGACGCATACTGAGTGAATTAATTGAAAACACTTGATAAATCATTCAGTTGCCTAAATGTAGCCCCTGACATTACACATATAAAAATATCTCTTATAAAAATAGTAATACAATTATATTAATTAAAAATAATAATAAGAGTTTCATAATTCTTCATTCCAGAAATATAAGGTAAGATGTCAGAAAAATCTAATCTTTGCTTTTTTTAAGTTTTAATTTCGTTACCACATTGGCACATTGTGACGCAGCAAGTAAAAAAGTGAATGAATTATTCACCAACTTATTTATTTGAATAGAAATATAAGCCTGATCATTAATATAGAAAATTTTCGTGGTGCTCTAATACGCATCATCATTTAACTTTGACGCGTTTGATTACCGAAAGCAATGTAAGATTGTCCTCCGTTCCAGATGAAGAATATGATTATTGTGAATTGCATGCCTCTACTCAGAAAATTTGAGAGATTTTGTCTCAAAATCAATGTAGCTCTTGTCTTGTGTGTGCCATCCTGACCAAGTTTTGCCCGGCGTATCAGTGCTATATGCAGCCAGTGTTTCACTATTTGGACAATGTGACCCATTTATTTCACAAGTGTATTATCTGCTAGACAACACAAGTTTGTTTCTTCCTTAAAATGTTTACATTTTCACAAATTCTATTGTACTTCTTCATTGTGCACAAATGTATGTTTATTCTATAGTACGTGCAATTTCGTGCCACAAAATGTTGAAGTTTTATTAGTTCCGGACAATGATTTGTCAAGCGGATCTAGTTTGATTCCAATTGAAGCGAAATAAATGCAAATCCGCCGCGCCCTAAATAGGGGGTTGCGGGAAGAGCAGGACGCAATCCCCGGGACATTCCCGCTAGGCGCCGGTCTCGCCCCCGGTCGCCCGTGTAAGGAGGCATCATGTTAGCTTTTTTTTTTGGTAGCACTTGCGGGATTCATGGAGGCTCCCGCGGCTTATAATACCACTGAGCTCTTCCGTTGCATAAATACTACACAGGCAAATAATTTGGTAGAGCGAAATCATGCCGTAACAAGTTACAAACATATCTCGTTTTATTGGATATCGGTAAGTGGGATCCAAACAGCGCACATCATATATATGTTTTAATGCGTCTTACACACTCGCATTGTGTGTAATCGTTTTTATGTGTATTACAAGCTCTCATAATTGAGTCTCTTACACACTCTCTAATACACTGGCGTGTTTCGAAAAAAAAATACATTTCACACAACTTGCATACCCAAACGTTTTGCTTCTCCTGTGAAGAACAAATCCTTTTCATATTTTCACAGAATTTAAATTCACGACATTTTCTCTTCGATATCGATTTAATATAATTAAGTGAAATTATCGAGTATAAGCACATTTATCAGTTTACTCCAGGAAATTTTGCTCTGGCGAGACGCTGAGATCGCAAGGCCGGACAAAGTCAAGCACCGGGCTGAGGAGAAGGGGACAGGGTAATGTGGGGGAAACTACTACAAATTTGCTCCTGCGTCAACGCTCGAATCTTGAATTTAGCAGGCGATTAATTAGTTTGCATGTGAGTTTCATACATCACAAAGAATAAAGTTTTTGGTCTGATTTTATCAAAGGAAATTTGGCAGGCTTTCGTTATGGGCGCTGAACACAATACAGATAACGGGACCAAGATAATTTATTCTAAATAAAAAATATCTAATAGGATATAGTACTACTACCCAAATAATCCAATTATTAAAACTAATGTGTTTTATTTACCATCATTTTTGCATATATGATTATTTTAAAATTTGGGGTTAGCACTTCGTTTCATTAATATTTGAATTTAAAATAAAACCAAATTCATTAGCTTCAAATTCAAATGAAGTCAAATATCCACTGACGATTCTGAAGTAAATCAAAATTAGCTTAAACAACGTGAACGTAAAATTCAATTACTTCAGATGACCGAGAATAATAATTACCAGGAAGAATGTCAGTATGAAGGCACAACTCAACCCTCATGATGAAGCGGATCAGTTGTCAAAGAGGGAAAAATTTACGCTATTTTCTCACGAATTGTCCTTGAGCTTGCCAATTGCGGCTTCCAAAGTCCACAAACTTACAAGCAGCCCCGAGAAACTTCTCTATTTCCAGTGAATACTGAACAAACACGGAAGATGGATTTGATTACTTGATCGTTTAAGAAAGCAGCCTTTCCCGTTCTTCATTCTATCACCATATCTTTAAATTATGATTCATCCTTTCAGGCTACAGCGTATTAAAGAAATATGAGATTATCCGCGTTCTGCATGCACAATTGGTCTAATCCCCGAAGCATTAATAATTAATTTGGTCATTGGACAAAAGTATCTTGACTACGGAGGTGATGTAGTTAAGAACAAGTAATTCAATATATATTTTACATTCAGTAGTTACCTTGTAATTTCTTCAAAAAAAGAACCGCCACCGAGCCTCAAACGATGTGATGGCTTTTTTACTACGGTTGCTAATGGGTCAAGGTTTGAAAGCCCCTGATCCTACTCGATTATTAAATAAGGAGACGACAGACGGAGCGTAAAATTTCTTAACTACATCTATGCACCAAGAAGACTAAGAAGCGTCAGGAAATTAAGAAACAGAAATAGGTAACCAAGATGAGAATGTAAAAGACAGAATGCCAGATGCAAACGAAGTTGAAGAAGAAGAGGATGCAGAAACGGAAACGCCTGTCATTCCAGGCGGAGATGTAAAAATATAAATTGAAATAGAAGAGCGCAGAAGTTTGCGGACGATTCCCAAAAAAGCACTGAAAAAACTTTCAAAAACTTTTGATGAGTATGCGGTCAATGTGCTCGTTCGTCGTTTCAAGCCACGAGCAGTGCTACTCGTGACGTCTCGAGTTAGAGTTCAGTGGATGGATCAGGCACTGGAGACCTCGAGACGGTCTGGCCAAGACGCCGATTACGAAGATCATTTGAATTTCAAAAGGGTGATCACTGAGCAGACACTGGCTCATTCTGTGATACAGTTTAATGTTCTCAATAACGATTAATCAGTTGGGGAGTTTTCTGACAGAATTTGGACATTTTTAGAGGCGGGAAATTTTAAGAAATCAACAGCTGCTGTGCACCAACATCTGACCATGACTGATCCCCTTACGCAAGTCACCGTGGGTTACTTGCTTGTATCCGTTGCAATTGCTCCAGTTTCTGCAGCTATTGATCCGCTTTTGCAGGACTTGCCGAATGAGACCGAAAAGATGAAAATTATTTAGACAATCGATCACATATCAGATACAGCATCAATGATAATAGACATTTTCAAAATAGAACATTTGCCTGACATGGACTACCGTTCATTCTTGCAGCCAAACAAAGACCCTGTCGACCCATACGTGCAAATTCGGCTCGGTGACAAACGGGTCGACAACAAGAAGTGGAAAGAGTCCAAGACTGCTAACCCTGTCTTTGGTCATCGATTGAGCATAGAGTACAACCATCCAAGTTGTGCAAATGATCTTGTAATTGAAATCTTGGACGATGATCCTGGCCGGGACGACTCAGTAGCCACTCTTCGATTGCCCATACTTGCCTTGACGCCTCCGGTAACTGGGTCTCCAGCCCCACACGTTCATTTTGGGCCTGCATGGATCCCGCTTTACGGTGACGTTCGACAACTGGACCAGCAAGTCAGCTCCAAGCTTGCAAAGTAATATGCTGACGGGTCCATCGATGGATGTGCGTACCGCGGAAGAATACTTCTCAGGGTCAAGTCGGAGTATGGTCCACCGCTTGTGACTCTAGAAAAGTTCACACTTCATGAAATGACGACTTTAGAAT